TTGCTATGCAGTTGCTAAAGTGCTCTGGGTGACTGTTGTTAGGGTGTCATTGCTAGAGTGGTGTTAGTGGTTGCTAGGGCATTGCTATGCAGTTGCTAAAGTGCTCTGGGTGACTGTTGTTAGGGTGTCATTGCTAGAGTGGTGTTAGTGGTTGCTAGGGCATTGCTATGCAGTTGCTAAAGTGCTCTGGGTGACTGTTGTTAGGGTGTCATTGCTAGAGTGGTGTTAGTGGTTGCTAGGGCATTGCTATGCAGTTGCTAAAGTGCTCTGGGTGACTGTTGTTAGGGTGTCATTGCTAGCATGGTGTTAGTGGTGGCTTGGGCGTTGCTATGCAATTAATAAAATGTTCCGGGCGACTGCTCGGGTCTTGCTAAGTGGTTGCTAGGGTGGTATTAGTTGTAATGTGGTGTAAGGTGTTTTTTTAGCGCACTGGTATGCGGCTGCTAGCCTGTTGTGGCTGGTTGCCAGGTTATACAGTGTTTTTAGCATACTAGCACACGTTCGCTCTAATGTTGTGAATGGTTGCCAAGTCTTTGCTCTGCATTCCGGTTGCAGTTTTTATGCAGTGTTGGTAAGTTTATTTCATTGCTATGCAGTCGCTAGGGTGTTCTGGCTGGTTGCTGCAAGAGTTACACACTTTAATACTCAGCGTTTAGGGGTTTGATCACATTATTTTGAGCCGTGTTTAGTTGTTTACTGTCCTTTTGAGAAATCAGACTGTGAATGTGTGCGTGGAGGTTTGGAGCTGTGATGCACACACACACACACACACACACACACATCTGGACGTGACATCAGATGGCAGTAATTTCTGATACTCACCTCACATGGCTGCTGACAGAAAAAACAGCATGACATTATCCTGTAGAACTACAACCGGCTTCGGTTAAAAAAATACACATTTTGTGCATTTAAAAATGCATCTAGTCATATCTGCATACATGCAAAAATCAAAGCACAGACACAGCATGATGTGAACCATTTCATAAGAATATGCTATACAAGAAAATCTATCAAATCCAAAGCTCTTCTCAGATCAAACGGACTGAAAATACTTCTAAACACGCCAAAATACACACATTTTTGTATTTATTAATTTGATTGTATATAAAATTTCATTTCAATTTCTGTCAACAGCCTTCATCATTTCACGGGTGAGTTTAATGAAAATTATTTAGAAATTATATTCTGCACAAAGAAAATGAAGCTGATTATTTTATAACAATCATGTTCTCATTACTGTAATGCACCTGGATATTCTCTTTAGATTTTTTTCAGTTAAAATCAACAAAGTCACACAACATAATTTATTTTGCATCAAAATAATGAGATTTGGGGTGAATTGAATGAAAACAATGTCAAAGTGAAAAAAAATTCAATAATGTTTTTTTCATGCATTCTGCATTTTTCCTTTTGCAGTCCTAATTCTTTTTAGATTACTGTAAATAATAGATTTATTTTCAAAAAAAAAAATTTCTTCATGCATTCATTTTTTTTAGCTCATATTTTCTTCAGATTACTGTAAATAATAGATTTTTAAAATTAAAATCAACAAATAAATTACTGCAATCTGTGAATACTGCACAATCTAATTGATTTTGCATTAAAAAAATGATATTTAAGTTGAAAATGTTGTAAAATACTGACTCGGGGCAGTATTTTATATCAAAACTTAATTTTCTTCATGCATTCTTCATTTTTTGCAGCTCTCATTATTCTCGTTAAAATACTATTAATAACAGATTTTAAATTTTTCAATCAAGGCAGTACAACCAATGTAATTATGATGCACTGCAAAATCTAATTTCTTTTGCATTACAGTAATGAGAACCGGGGTGAAGTGAAATGAAAATAATGTCACAGTGCAAACAAAACACCTAATACGCTTCATGCATTCTTAATTTTTCCTTTTCAAGATTTTATTATTCTTTAGATTGCTGTAAATAATAGACTTTATTTCAATTATCAAATTAAAGGCAAAACTACATTCCGTAAATCTGTAAATAATGCAAAATCTGATTTTGTGAAAAAAAGTCTGTTTTCTTCATGCATTCTTCATTTTTCTTCTACTGTAAATCTTTTTATTTTTCAAATAAAATCAACAAATTAAAAGCACTTTACATCAAAGTAAAGGTTCTTAAATAAAGCCACAGTGCAAAAAAATCAAACACTTTTCTTCATGCAAAATATAAATTCTTCCTTTTTTTTGGGTTGAGATCTGACCTACACGTGTTCTTGATAGTGCTTGTATAAATAGCAACATAAGAGCGCTGTCATCTTTCCATGTTTGCATGGTTTTTTCCATGTTTACAGGCTTGTAAAGCAGCGGGTGTTTTTCCGGAGATGATGACTGATGTGCCGTTGTGAGCGGCGCTGGTCTGGAAGTGCAGGTGCGCGTTCACATCATAATGAGTGGGAAATCCGTGCAGGTTTTCCGGCCGCAGTGAGCGTGTGTGGCCGTCGAGAGACAGTTTGTCTGACCCGGGACTGCTCAGACCGGACAGTGACACCGGACTCCCGTTCATGTCGTCCCGGCACAGGATGAGGCGGTCCGAGGCCATGCGGTTCCCCGGCGTCCAGTAATCGCTCATGCGGCCGTCCTCCACCTTAATCGGCTCCTGTTTGGCTCCCATCAGGCTTTCTGACTCCCGCGGGCTCACGTGAAACGCCCTGTTGCCATGGCAACCGTCTCCCGAATCGCCCGACGAGCCCGGAGAACTGTCCGCGCGCTCGTCGTCCCAACGAGCTGCCAATGAGATTTGATTTCACAGCGTTATGCGCGTGCTGAAACTCCCTGAGGACTGATTATGAAGTTCTGCGTTTGAGTATTTATCAATGCTTAAATGTTGATATGTTTAGCCTATTATCCGCGTGACACTGAAGACTGGAGGCATGATGCTGAAAATACAGCTGCGCATCACAGAAATACATTACAGTTTAACACATATTCACATAGAAAACAGCTGTTTTACATTATAATAATATTTACATTTTTACTGCATTTTTGATCAAATGAATGCAGCTTTGACTTCTTTCAGAAACATCCTAATTATTCCAAACACATAAATGGTTGTAAATCAGAGTTTCAACAAAAACACAAACTGTTCTCAACATTGATGATAATCAGAAATGTTTCTCGAGCAGCAAATCAGCATATTAGACTGATTTCTGAAGATCGTGTGACTCACCGTGAGTTTGATGGTACGTTCTGCCGTCAAACGCTCCTCCGTTGTGTTGAGTTGCTTTAGTAAGCGACGGGACGAGTCGTGTGGCATCCCACCATCCCTCTGTCCCTCTCTGATCACACAGCTGTGTGTGTGTAGCGTGTGCGTGTGTTTGAGCACATGTGTGCACCGCGTCATCCTGAGAGAGAGCGTAACACAGCGAGCCGCACGCATCACTGTGATCCAGTCGCTGCGGGGAGGCGGAGTCTGTCAGAGGGCTGCCGCCCCATTGGCTGTCGCGCTCGGAATCTGAGCACTCGGGCTGAAAGGACGAGAACTGCTGAAATAAACAGAACAGAAACCACTGTAAAGCTGTGGTTTACAGTGAATTTAGAACAGCTAAGGGGCGTTGTTAGGTACGACGCTTCGCCTTGGTGAGCATAACTCAAACGATAGTGTGTATAAGGAAAGAAAGAACCAGAGAAGATTATATGGGGAGTGAAAATTGTGACTAAAAGCTAATATATTTAACATCTAAAATATGCATTTGAGCCTAAATGTGTCCCTGGAGCACAAAAGCGGTGTTAAGTCGCTGGGGGATATTTGTAGCAATAGCCAACAATACATTGTATGGGTCACAATTATACATTTCTCTTTAATGACAAAAATCATTAGGATATTAAGTAAAGATCATGTTCCATGAAGATATTTAGTAAATTCCGTACCTAAAACTTAATGTTTGATTAGTAATATGCATTGCTAAGAACTTCATTTGAACAACTTTAAAGATGATTTTCTCAATATTTAGATTTTTTTGCACCCTCAGATTCCAGATTTTCTAATATTGTCCGATCCTAACAAACCATACATCAATGGAAAGCTATTTATTCAGCTTTCAGCTGATGCATACATCTCAATTTAGAAAAATGGACCCTTCTGACTGGTTTTGTATGCGGTTCCCCGGCGTCCAGTAATCGCTCATGCGGCCGTCCTCCACCTTAATCGGCTCCTGTTTGGCTCCCATCAGGCTTTCTGACTCCCGCGGGCTCACGTGAAACGCCCTGTTGCCATGGCAACCGTCTCCCGAATCGCCCGACGAGCCCGGAGAACTGTCCGCGCGCTCGTCGTCCCAACGAGCTGCCAATGAGATTTGATTTCACAGCGTTATGCGCGTGCTGAAACTCCCTGAGGACTGATTATGAAGTTCTGCGTTTGAGTATTTATCAATGCTTAAATGTTGATATGTTTAGCCTATTATCCGCGTGACACTGAAGACTGGAGGCATGATGCTGAAAATACAGCTGCGCATCACAGAAATACATTACAGTTTAACACATATTCACATAGAAAACAGCTGTTTTACATTATAATAATATTTACATTTTTACTGCATTTTTGATCAAATGAATGCAGCTTTGACTTCTTTCAGAAACATCCTAATTATTCCAAACACATAAATGGTTGTAAATCAGAGTTTCAACAAAAACACAAACTGTTCTCAACATTGATGATAATCAGAAATGTTTCTCGAGCAGCAAATCAGCATATTAGACTGATTTCTGAAGATCGTGTGACTCACCGTGAGTTTGATGGTACGTTCTGCCGTCAAACGCTCCTCCGTTGTGTTGAGTTGCTTTAGTAAGCGACGGGACGAGTCGTGTGGCATCCCACCATCCCTCTCTCCCTCTCTGATCACACAGCTGTGTGTGTGTAGCGTGTGCGTGTGTTTGAGCACATGTGTGCACCGCGTCATCCTGAGAGAGAGCGTAACACAGCGAGCCGCACGCATCACTGTGATCCAGTCGCTGCGGGGAGGCGGAGTCTGTCAGAGGGCTGCCGCCCCATTGGCTGTCGCGCTCGGAATCTGAGCACTCGGGCTGAAAGGACGAGAACTGCTGAAATAAACAGAACAGAAACCACTGTAAAGCTGTGGTTTACAGTGAATTTAGAACAGCTAAGGGGCGTTGTTAGGTACGACGCTTCGCCTTGGTGAGCATAACTCAAACGATAGTGTGTATAAGGAAAGAAAGAACCAGAGAAGATTATATGGGGAGTGAAAATTGTGACTAAAAGCTAATATATTTAACATCTAAAATATGCATTTGAGCCTAAATGTGTCCCTGGAGCACAAAAGCGGTGTTAAGTCGCTGGGGGATATTTGTAGCAATAGCCAACAATACATTGTATGGGTCACAATTATACATTTCTCTTTAATGACAAAAATCATTAGGATATTAAGTAAAGATCATGTTCCATGAAGATATTTAGTAAATTCCGTACCTAAAACTTAATGTTTGATTAGTAATATGCATTGCTAAGAACTTCATTTGAACAACTTTAAAGATGATTTTCTCAATATTTAGATTTTTTTGCACCCTCAGATTCCAGATTTTCTAATATTGTCCGATCCTAACAAACCATACATCAATGGAAAGCTATTTATTCAGCTTTCAGCTGATGCATACATCTCAATTTAGAAAAATGGACCCTTCTGACTGGTTTTGTGCTGCAGGGTGACACATGAGACTGAAGGGCTTTCAGAGCAACGGTTAGAGCTGAGGGAAGTCACCTGAGAATAAGGAGAAACCTGGATCTTCCTCCTGCTGCTTGGAGTTCTGTCCTCCGGCTCGTGCTGGTTTCTGTAGGGGAACGCAGGTTTGCTGGGCTTCAGCTGGTCCAGAGACAGCGCCATGCCTTTATACTCTGTGTCCCTAAACACACACAACCGCACGTTATTACAGTAAACATGACATTCAGCGCTGTAGTTCACCCGCATGATGCTTTTGGGTCATTGTGACATAACGATTTCTAGAAAACCCATAGTTTTTAGTACAGGAAAGAAATTTGGCATATGGATTAGGGTTATCATAATACACATCATGTGTTTTTTTCAGATTTAAAAAAAATTTTTTTTTAAGAGATATAGCACCTTTCATATTCGGGCCATTTTTGACCCAGAAGTAACCTGTGGCTTTTCAGACCGGTCTGATTCTGATCTTTTCTAACGGATTAGACTTACGAAAAAAACTACGAAAAGTCCCATAGACGTTCATTGAGAGGCTTTTGTACAGTACGATTATAGCGTGTTTAAGCGGTCTATAACTAGCAAAGCTTAATGACTAACATAGACGACACGCTAAAGCATGCAAGCTGCATGCTAATTCATGCTAGCAATGTGCTAATCATGTTAGCGAACATTAAATATAATGCTAGCAACTTATTAAAACACATTAGCAACATGCTAATAATGCTAACAACATGCTAATTATATTAACAGCAAGCTAATCATGATAGAAATGTGTTAACAACATGCTAACCATGACAGCAACATGCTAATTCATGCTAGCAATGTGCTAATCATGTTAACAACATGAAATATAATGCTAGCAGCGTATTAAAACATGTTATCAACATGCTAGCCACAAGGCTAATAATGCTAACAACATGTTAATATGCTAACAATATGTTAACCATGACAACAACATGCTAATTCATGCTAGCATTGTGCTAATCATGTTAACAACATGAAATATAATGCTAACAGCGTATTAAAACATGTTATCAACATGCTAGCCACGTGCTAATCATGCTAACAACATATTAATATGTTAACAACATGCTAACCATGACAGCAACATGCTAATTCATGCTAACAATGTGCTAATCATGTTAGCAACATGAAATATCATGCTATCAACATATTAAAACACGTTAACAACATGTTAGCCAAATGCTAATCATGCTAACAACATGCTAACCATGATAGCAACATGTTAATTCATGCTAGTAGTTCGTTAATCATGTTAGCAACATGAAATATCATGCTATCAACATATTAAAACACGTTAACAACATGTTAGCCAAATGCTAATCATGCTAACAACATGCTAACCATGATAGCAACATGTTAATTCATGCTAGTAGTTCGTTAATCATGTTAGCAACATGAAATATCATGCTATCAACATATTAAAACACGTTAGCAACATATTAGCCACATGCTAGTCATGCTAACAACATGCTAATTATGGAAACAGCACACTAATCGTGCTAGAAACATGCTAACAACATGCTAAATCATGCTAGCTACGCGCATCTATCTAAACTTTCTCAAGCCAACCTCAAGCTTTTTTCACAAACTTCACTCATCTAGTTCTATTAGTTTTTATTATTATTATTATTTTACATGTAATACATTTAGCCTCTCTCTCATATCTCCCACACACTTTCAGCACTGAATTCTGTTGGTAAATGTGAATATGCACCTATAGACAGACGAAAGATACATTTATTTCATTTTGATGTTGTTTTGTTAGAAATAAATGTGTACGTTTCATACATTTGTACTCTTTTGAGAAATGAAAAGACCAGTTTTATTCAACTCCATTCATTCCAATGCAGTTATTACTGGTAATTCTCTGTTTAAATGTTCTTATAAATTGCATATAATTATATATTGAAAAAAAATTTCTTATGAATATTGAAAAAAAAGTATTATTTTTTTTGCTGTAATTCTTGTAAAATTTGAAATAATTTCTTAATTTTTTTTATTACTAAAGAGGGGATAAATGTAGTAATAACAGTAAAACACTGTAACGTTGGCATTTTTGCACACTCACTCAAGTTACTGATCAGATACAGTCGGGTATTAGGTGACACATTTATGACGGTTTCAGCGGGTCAAAAGTGACCCGCAGATGCGAAAGCTGTTGTTTGAGGAGGGTTAATCAGTTCGTACGGCTCTTCCAGCGATCGCCAGCCTTAAACTCGAGTCCTGCGACACAAAGGAAAGCTGTGAACAGTTTTGTGTTCGTCTCCTTTGACCCGCAGACGTCTGTCCTCTCACTCAGACACTCTGCTCTTATCAGGAAAATCCCCCTGAGACGCTGTACGCTTGTGTCACGAGCCGCAGGTTTCCATCATGAGGTGAGACTGTGCGGTGAGCTTCTATGGTTTGTGTCTGACAGCGCACCGTAAACGAGAGACTCAAAGGGAATTAAACAAACATAACAGTGGTGCGTCTGACTCGTCTGAAAATTCAGCTTTGCATCAAAGGTATAAATTACATGTAAAAATATATTTAAATAAAAAAACTGTTATTTAAAAATGTAAATATTTTTATTGTATTTTACTGTTTTTATTGTGTTTTTTTTTGGTATTTATTTTAAACTCAGGCTGAGTGAGCAGAAGAGACAAAATCATTAAAAAAAGCTTACCAACCCCAAACTTTTAAATAAATACATACATGCCAAAAATACATATACATATATATATATATATATAAACTAGCGGTCAAAGGTTTGCGATCAGTAAGACTTGTAATGTGTTTTAAAGAAGTCTCATCAAGGCTGCATTTATTTGATCAAAAATACAGAAAAAAACTGTAATCTTGCAAAATGTTATTACAATATAAAATAATGGTTTCTATTTTAATATCCTTTAAAATATAATGTATTTCTGTGATGTGCAGCTGTATTTTCAGCATCATTCCTCCAGTCTTCAGTGTCACATGATCTTCAGAAATCAGTATAATATGCTGATTTATTATTAGAATTATCAACAGTTGTGCTGCCAAATATTATTTTGGAAACTGCGACTTTTTTCAGGATTCTTTGATGAATAAAAAGTTAAAAAGAACAGCATTTATTCAAAATGTAAATCTTTGATATGCTATCACTTCTTAACAATTTAACACATCCTCGCTGAATAAAAGTTTTAATTTCTTTCAAAAAAAAAAGAAAGAATAAAAAATTACAGACCACAAACTTTTGAACTGTAGTGTATATTGTTAGAAAATATTCTATTTTGAATAAATGCTCTTCTTTTGAACTTTTTATTCATCAAAGAGTCCTGAAAATAAGTATCACAGCTTCCAAAACAATATGAAGCAGTAAAACTGTAACAGATCAGCATATTATACTGATTTCTGAAGATCATGTGACACTGAAGACTGGAGGAATGATGCTGAAAATACAGCTGCACATCACAGAAATACATTACAGTTTAAAGTACATTCAAATAGAAAAACGTAATTTTACATCATAATAATATTTCACAATATTAATTTTTTTCCTGTATTTTTGATAAAATAAATGCAGCCTTGATGAGCAGAAGAGACTTCTTTAAATAACATAAAAAATCGTTCTGATCCCAAACTTTTGAGCGCTAGTGTATATAAATGCGCTCGTTGTTGGATCGTGTGGCGTGTTGGAGAGGGAGATGTTGCTGGACTCACGTGAGGACGTAGTTGACGCTGACGATGCAGTGCGGACGAGACGAGCGGATGTTGTGAACGATGGTGGCGTAACTCTGCACCCAAACCCAGCCGCCGTGTTTGGACAGGAAGCGGTAATATTTAGTGGTCACCTGACCTTTGACCAGCACTGCAGAGACACACACACACACAGACACAGACAGACACAGACACACACACACAGAGACACAGACAGACAGACAGACACACACACACACACACACACACAGACACACACACAGACACACACACACACACACACAGACACACACACAGACACACACACACACACACACAGACACACACACAGACACACACACACACACACACAGACACACACACAGACACACACACACACACACACAGACACACACACAGACACACACACACACACACACAGACACACACACAGACACACACACACACACACACAGACACACACACAGACACACACACACACACACACAGACACACACACAGACACACACACACACACACACAGACACACACACAGACACACACACACACACACACAGACACAGACACAGACACACACACACACACACACACGCACACACACACACACACACACACACACACAGACAGACAGACACACAGACACAGACAAACACACAGGCAGACAGACACACACACACACACACACACACACACACACACACACACAGACACAGATACATGTATCAATCAACCAACTCCTGTTAAATATATATAACATTTGTACAGTAAGGATCAGAACTGTTTGTTATTACAATATATATGAATTAATATATAATATTATATATTATAATATAGAATATATATACAACTTATATATAATATATAACATTTATTTTATTTTATATTTTTACATATATAATATTATATTTTATATTTTTTATTATATAATTTTTTATGAATTAATTTAT